AATAAAGGGACACAAACTTTCTGATCATTAGGATTTTCATTAAATAGAATGGAGTGCTGTAAAATGCAGTAAACCTGTCAAGGAAAAGGTCAAGCTCAGACTGGAAGACAGTCTCTTAAGAATTTCACAGAGGTGAGGAATGAACTGCCTAGACAATTAAACTAGATGGCTTCAAAGTCTGATCCAATTAGAGATCTTATAATTCTCTTCTAAGAAACTCATTAGTTTTGGGTAATTTGCTCAAGATGAGTCACAATATAGGACACAAGTACACTAACTACTGTGCTTCCTCCCTCTGAAAGCCCTATATATATTAGAACAGGTATATTAGAAGTGTGTTTGAAAGATATTGGTAAGCAATCTAAAGATCTTATGGTATCAACAGAAATCTAGATACTCTGTTTTTTCTTCAGATCATATAAATCTTTTGCCTTTTACTAAATATTTCCATAGAAGCAATTCCAAGTTTTTCAACTAACTTTTGAGGCCTTGTTTTGGCAGGGCTAGGAAAAAAAAAATGTTTAGATTTTGGTTCTGTTGCTTAACTATACCTTGAATAGATTACCATTTCCCTAGACCTCAGAGAAGCTCAAGCTGAAGAAATATTCCCTACTTCTTCCATCATCATTATTTTTTAATAATGTATTTCAAAATATGTGTTTGTTATCTGGAGAATCAAAATAACTGGGTGACTCTATGGCATTTAGTGGTCTAGGGATGCTGAGTATCCTTCAGTGCCCAAAATGACATTCCTTTCACTGAGAAATGCTGATGAAAGAATCACAAATTTCTTTTCAGGTCAAATTCTGTGAAATTGTTAACATTTTTAGCTACTAATTGTTAACATTTTAGCTAGTAACTAAAACACAATGAAACATCATATTTTTCTATCCTAAGTAGTTAGTGTAGAATACAACCAAATATTGATTATCTTGGATTACCAGGACAAATTTAATAGAGTTGGTAAAAAAACCAAAAACAACAACAACAAAATCTCTTGTTTTTAATGTATAGATGTCAAGAGAATTACCCTTCAATAAACTCAAATAATTTGGTGTCAACATTGTAACCATGACATTATTAATTAATTTACACTTTTAGTTTCTAAGCCTATTTAGTGTTTTTCCCCCCTTATCACTAAATTGGACAGATTGGACAGATTCTTAGGTATGTAGTGGGCCATTAAATTGTGACTTTTTAATCAAAAGAAAAATATTACTTATAACAGCTACCAGAAATATTCAGTCTTAAGAGAAGAAGGTTAATGAATGTCAACAATTGTAATTAAAATAGATATTTAATTATCAATACAAATTATATTTATTGATTAAATTGACTGATTGCAGTACTGGAGATTGAACCCAAGACCTCACAAATGCTAGGCAAAGGGTCTACCACTGAGCTATATTCCCAGTCTCACTTCTATTTTATTTTCAGACAGGATTTTGTTAAATTGCCCAGACTGGACTTGAACTTATGATCGTCCTGTCTCACCATCCTGACTGTGATTACAGGTGTTCTGTAGATTATACCACAGTACATGGCACATATAATTTAGTTTTGAAATGAAAGATGTGCTGAAGAATTTTTGGCTTTAGGGACCAATTTTAAATAATTATACATATATGTGTGTAATTTACTTATCATTTTATTTCTAGGCAAATTTTTTCTTACATCAAGAAACATTACACACACATATAGTAAGTTTTGGAAAACCTGGAAACAAGGGGCCAAAATCAACATCTGAATTTTAATTACTTTTAACACTTCTGGCACAGAATTGTAGCTAGGAATTAAAGGATGTTCTGCTTTTACCACAATAGATTGTTCATTACTTCCTTTAAAATTCAAAGGTATACCTTTTTCCCCAAATATCTGGCTTCAATAATTTGTTTATACCCGTTTTATCTCAGTGGTACCATCAGTACTTATGTCTAAAAATACAGAGCACTAACATTATTTTAATAGATCTTTTATATAAAAAGGACAATAATATTATACAAGATCATTTCACTGGCTTTTTAAGTGTTTAGAGTCCTTTTTTCATTTTGATGAACAGAAACTAATGTTAGTGTGTTTTCATTAAGGCTTTCTCAGGAAAACATTCAGATGACTATGTTATATAAAACATAATTGTACAATATACAAGGTAATATTTAAACTTGAGATTCTTCATGTTTACTGGCATAAAATTTCTAGCAACAAAAAGTATACCTAACATTTTATGAAATAATTTAATGGTCTGCATAATACTCAAGGATCCATATTCTTTTTACAGAATAAAATCATTCTTAATGATTCCTTAAAATACAAACATAAAAGCCTTCTTTTTAAAAGCTTAACAAATATCAGTACATCCATACTACTATTTGATTTGTTATAAATTACTAATAAATTATCTAAACAATATAAAGACATACAGGTATTAAATGTTAAAAGAAAAAAAAAATCAGACAAAAAAGGAACCAATCCCCCACAAATTAGTATTTAATTTTCTAGTATTATATTGGTATCTTACTAACATCATAGAGGATGCAAAAAAGTGGCAAATTATTTTTAAATTCTAAATTAAAGAATCTGATAAGAAAATTAAGCTTACACAGTGTGTTATCTTTCAATCTAAGATGTCAAAAGACAGGTCCATTTGACTTAGCTAAAAACTGGCCAATACTTTAATACAGATTTAGAAAATATAGGAAAGTGAACTCCCCAACCATGAAAGCAATGACCTATACCATTTGCTTGTGTTTTCATGGTTCAAAGGTCAGAAATAAGAGAATAGTTTATATTTCTTTGGCAGAGATAAAACATAATCCTTTATACAGAACTTCAGATTTCAGGGAAAACTTCAAATCCAGCAAGTTAACAGCTTGTCTCTATTTGCTGTCACTCTAGATCAGAGAAACCCACGTTTTTTTTTTTTTTCTTTCCTGCCCCCCCTTCAGTTACACTTGAGCTCTCTGACTGAAAAGGTCTGGAACAGATTAAAAGTCGGCCACAAAATAAAAAGCTCTGGCATGTTGTCAAGCCTGTCTGGAATACACATACACAGTGGGCCCAAAAAGGGAAACTAAATGCAATAGGAGAATTTCATGAAACTTTTTTGGCATATCTAATTGTGTGTGTGTGTGTGTGTGTGTGTGTGTGTGTGTGTGTGTGTAAGTAAGAGGTAGAAAGAAGTACTTTAAAAAAAATATCTTCCCATGATTAAAACAAAAGACTAAGTGATGGGTATAATCAGTGAATGTACTTAATCTCACAGCAAAGATATTTTACTTATCTGTTTTAAGTAAAACTATTCTTTTTTTTTTTTAAAAAAAATAAAGAATATATTTTATTTAGTTAGTTGCTGAATGACCTTTCTTTTTTATTTATATGCGGTGCTGATAATTGAACCCAGAGGCAAGTGCTCTACCACTGACCCACAACCCCAGCCCTTAAGTGAAAATATTCTTTTTAAAAAAGCTTTGATTCCTGATCTCTGAGGTTAATTATGAGTTAATTATCATCTTTCATAATTTAAGGATTTGGGGGGTATTTTACTCATAACACTATTCTTTGAATTTTCCAAAATGTGGACAAGTTTAATTCATTCCAATAAATATGATTTAAGGAAACATGTCCATTGTCATTCCACTCCATACAAATTTATTATATTTTCCACCTTACTTGATTTCCTACTTCAACCACAGGCTTATTCAAATATTAAATAAAATCTGAAGCTGCAAATTATTAACGTGACACACTGTTTTGTTTAACACCCAAAGAAGTCTTAAAGCTCAAAAGCCTGGCATTTAAGACAAACCGGATCTCTGTCAAAGTCACAGTCTCTGCCTTGATCGCACCTTTGACTTTACTTTGAATAGGGGTTTTGGTCAGTCAATGAAGCCAAATAGTCAGGCAATCTGAGGTAAAACTGAATACTGTTTGTTTTTAAAGCATATCTAAGACAAAGGAGAACTTGTTCATAATGTTCCTGACAGGGAGTTGTTTTATCCAACCAACTCCCAATAATTTTCTTTTTCTTTCTCCTCCTAGAGTTGTGTTTTGATGGCATTCACAGAGTTAATTCTTCTTTCCTGTAAGGGCCTCACAGTTGTTGTTAGGTCAACCCCTGTACAGCTTCAAAGGTTCCGCATCCCTTCAGTCTGACCTACTCTGTGATCTGCACGTTGTTTTCATTAAGCTGCATCTAGTCCATGATGAGAGCTTCAAAACCACAATTATCTGCTTCTTTTTAGACTCATTTTTCCATGGCTTTGGAAAAATATCTCAGAAACCCAACTGAAGAAACTAAAAACAGTGGGAAAATATGGCTTGTATACTTTTATCACAATGTGCACATTTGAAAGGGAAGAGTTCCTCTGAGCACTGGTGATTTATCTATGTCATCTGGAGGGAAATATGGCATGTCTTTTGCTTCTTATATAAAAAACAAAGGGAAGTATTTTTATTTACAAAAAAGAAAAATGGGCAAAAGAGGGGGAAATGCTTTCATTAGACCATTTCTAGGGCTACAGGTCCCCCCAATCACCACCACTTAGAATAACGCTCAAGCATGGGATGGTGCCCATCACTCTCAGAAGTTAAACATAAGCAGACACCAGGTCACTGACAAAAGCTGGTATTCCAGATTTTCAGTGTTATCTGATAGCCTGATTATTTCAGTGTTATCTGACAGCAATCAGGTAGAGAGAGACCATTATCAAGAAGGTGGATGTGTTTCCCCAAAACATGAATTCTGGTTAGTAAGTAAGTAACAGTAATTCTGACTCGTAAGCGACTATACCATTCTCTCATCCAATCCAGACTAAAAAGTCAAGTTAGACCTAAACCTCTTACATTGAAAATGAAAAGGTAAAAAAACAATAATGGGAAAAGTTCAGTGAGCAGTCATTTTTAATACTATGAAGCAATGCAGTTTTAAATGTGCTTTCCTAAATTCACACATTAAAAAAGTAATCAAAAATATCTAAAAAGGTTTTGAGATGAACCTTTACCAAAACGAGGGTCAAGCCTTGGGTCTAGCCAAGAGGTGGTCTTGTTCTTATGGTTTATATAGTAAATTTCTCCATCCTGAGTCATGGCTTGCTCCCATCCATCAGGAAGAGGACCTATAACACAGAAGAAAAAAATTAAATAAATCAGGATTGGTTTCAATTTGGTGCACCTAAAAAAAAAAAAAAAAGTGGGAGGAGTGCTATTTTAAAGAGAAAACACATCTTAACATAAAACAATTCATTAAAACAGATTAAAAGTCTGTGTTCAGAGAAGAAAGTTGAACCTTGTACCTAACCTAATTTTTCTCAACTAAAAAGAAACTATCAAATAATAATATTGACATCCCCAAAGACACAAATGACAGGGGAAAAAAATCTTTTCAGAAGTCATAACCCAAATAATTATTACTGTTAATACAAGTCATGGAAGTACTACAGTACAGGGACTTAGTTCCCAGTCCAATCAGTTTTGTGACAGTACCTTATTAGGGACTTCAAGGTTCTGTAATAAGAAATACATGCAGGTGTTTTTAGAACATCTAAAGTATTATGAACATTTTATTTAATACAGTGCACACTTTTAGCAAGGACTGCCAAGCTCCATTTATTTCCATTATTTATTTGACTGGCTTACACCAAGAAAACTATAATTCAGAAAACTACTGTCCAAAAAAGCACATTTTTAAAAAGGCCAGGTGGGGATGGGTAGTTGGAAGTTTGCTAAAAGCTTGGAAGAAGGGCAGGGTTAAATGCTAATGCTGTTAGAAATGTTAATGCTGTTAGAAAGCAAATTTCTCAAGAAGAAAAGGAGGACAACGAAACATTTCAAAGCTACAGAATGAAGAAACAACATCTGGGAGATAGGACTACAGAATACTCTTAAGACTTTTGTTTTAATGAGGGTAGCCAGACAATTGCTTTGGGGAGGTAACAGTCCTTGGATAACTTGGATAAACAAGTCCAATAATAGTTGTCAATGAATGCCTTTGAGGAGTTTCAACAACCACAAGAAACTTTCATTAGAAGGTTAACTATGAAGATTCTGTCTTTTGCAGTACCAGGGTCTTGTGCATGCTACCACCACACTATATTTCCAGTGACTCTATATCATTTCTCAGTAGCATTACTCTTCCCCTTAGTTATCCGAGTTAGAACTACAGGACGTATCTTAGATACAAACAAAACTTTTCCTACCTGCTCCATCCATTTCATCCTGGACATTCCAATTTCATTCTGATTTATCTCCCCTAGTTGGTCTCTAAGAGCTCAGACATCAATATTTACCATCTCTTTTTCTTAACTGTCAGAGCTTCCTTCCTTGGTGTCTGACTTCTCATCTCTTTTACTCAACTACTTTGTATCAAACAGCCACCAGGGTTTTCTTAAAATTCTTTCTTTTTGCGGGGTGGGTTAGAGTCTGGGGACAAACAAGGGCCTGGCAAATGATAAGTAAGTGCTCTATTTCTGAACCACATTCTTAAAGTCCTTTCTAATCAACTTTTATATGTCACTCCTTCTCTCACTAAAAGTATTTCCATTGCTCTCTACTATCAAAAGGAAAATGCCCAAATCCTACACCAACTGGACTGCCTTCTTTTTTTCTATTTTTCAGTACTGAGGATTGAACCCAGGGCCTCATGTACACTAGGCAAGGGCTCTACGAATGAACTACATCTTTAAGCAGGGTCTCACTAAGTTGCTCAGGCTGGCCTTGAATTTGTGATCTTCCTATGTCAGCTTCCCCAGCAGCTGGAATTACAGATGTGTGCCACCTCATTCTTCTTCTTTTCTGGTACTGGGGATTTAACCTAGGAGCTCTTTGCCATTCAGCTTTATCCACGGCCCTTTTTATCTCTTATTTGGTGTTGCGGGTCTCATTAAGTTGCTGAAGCTAGCCTCAAACTTTCCATGTTCCTTCCTCAGCTTCCTGAGTCACTGGGATTACAGGCATACACCCTTGCATCCAGCTGGACTTATTTCTTAAATTGTCTTCACTCTCCCAATTTTCTCAACTTTTCATGAAGTTCTTCTTTGTATACATTTATTGATTTATGCTATTATTAACAATAGCACATTGTGAGAGAGCTGATAGCAATAGCACCTCCACCACTAATAGTTTCATCATCACCAGTACAAGATGATGAAATTACATATTTAAATCCACAGATTCGTGATCTGCCCAGAACTCTGAAGGGCGGTGGGTGGGAGAGATTATTTGGAGACTGAATCTAAGACCTGGAAATGTGGGATTTGAAGGTGATTTAGGGGACTAAGAACTGGGTCTCTCACCACACGAGTGAAACCAGGGGAGATCCCTGGTGTACAGTCCAGTGTGGACCAGCAAGTATGGGCACTGAGAAGTGTGATGATTTAAAATCTCCAGACCAACTGGCATTCAGTAAGAATCTTGAACCTACATAAGCCTGAATCCTGCCTCCAAAAATTCCACCTAAGGAATTACCTCACTCACTCCAGCAATCCAGAGGATGAAGCATAACCCTCCAGATGACCCCACCTAAAACCACTGAGAATCTTTTAAACTCCAACAGAAAGAATTCTTAAATTCATCAAGATCATTTATTTTTTCTTACTTTTTTTCTCTGTTTAATTGTGGCCTTAATGGTACATGAGCATTTATACATATTCATATTTTTTTCTAATTTCTGACATCTTTGAAGCAAGTTATTTTTTCTGGATAAGTTTTTTGTGAACTAGGATGTTTGATGAGTATATTTTAGGTTTATTTGTTTGTTTGTTTTTGTGATGCTGGGGATTGAACCCAGGGCCTTGTGTATGTAAGGCAGGCACTCTACCAAATGAGCTATATCCCCAGTCCCTCTTTTTTTAAAATTTTTACTTTTTATAATATATATATTTTTTTCTTCCTGTTTCCCTCGATTCTCTTTTCTTCTGCTAACAGCCACTCTCTATTGTTCTTTCACTCTTCCTTTAATTTTTTACTTCTTCTCTCTTCTTGCCTTAAAATCATCACATCTTATATCACTTCTGTTCCCCCCGCCCCCGTCTATCATTTGAAACTATGAACCCTTTTGCAAACTTGTTATTTTTATTGTAGGTAATAGCTTATCGCATCATTTCTATTTGTTGTGATAATTAAATCAAATAATAATTATTTGGTTTAATGCTGTACAGTGTTTGCATTAGTGGTTATTATTATTTTGTCTCCCCCTAAACAGCAAGGTAGTGGAAACCTTAAGGGATACTTTAAGTCCACAGGGCAGAAACTCTATTACCTTAGATCCATACTCTCAGATGGGTAGACACAAAAATAACATGAAAAAGCAAGGAAACAAACTGCCCCAAACTAACCAATATACTCCAATAACATAATACATTGACACCACAGCATTAGAAATGCCAGGAGTTCAGAATTTACATAGTTAAGCTGATGTGCAAATTAAGGATGGTATAAAAAATGAGATTAGAGAGAATACAGGAAGTAAATCACTTCAATAAAAAGGCAGAGATTAAGTGGAAAACCTTGAAATGAAGGAAACAAGTAACCAAATTAAAAATTCAATGGAAAGCATCACCAACAGACCAGACCACTAGAAAGACAGAATCTCAGGCAAAGAAGACAAAAATATATAATACTGAAAACAGAATTGACCATGGAGAGAAGATATTAAGAAACCACATACAGAACTTACAAGAACTATAGGATACATGAAAAGACCAAATTTAACATTTATCAGGACAGATGAAGGCACAGAGATACAAACCAAAGGAATGCAAAATCTTTTTAATGAAATAGCATCATGAAATTTCCCAAACCTAAAGAATGAAATGGAAAACCAAATACAAGAGACTTACAGGAACCAAATGTACAAAATTACAACAGACCCACAACAAGGCACATTATAATGAAAATGCCTAACATACAGAATAAGGATAGAATTTTAAAGGGTGCAAGAGAAAAATATCACATTACCTATAGGGGATAACCAATTAGGATCTCAGCTGATTTCTCAACCCAGACCCTCAAAGCTAGGTGGTCCTGGAATAATATATATCAAGCTCTGAAAGAAAATGGATGCCAATCAAGAATCTCATCCAGCAAAATTAAGCTTCATATTCGAAGATGAAATGTAAACCTTCTATGATAAACAAAAGTTAGAAGAATTTACAACTGGAAAGCCTTTAATCTCAGAATATTCAACAAAATATTCCATGAATACGAAATGAAAAAAAAAAAAAAATGAAAACCAGCAAAGGGAGGAACTACACTAAAGAAATAGTCAATCAAAGCAGAAACTAATTCAAATTAAAAACTAGAAATAAACCCAAATGACCGAGAATATAAATCATATCTCAATAATAACCTTGAATATTAATGGCCTAAAACCATCAATCAAGACACAGACTGGCAGATTGGATTGAAAAACAAGACCCAACAATACATATGCTGTCTCCAAGAAGACTTACCTCATAGGCAAAGATGTCCACAGACTGAAGGTAAAAGGATGGGAAAAAACATACCACTCATATGGATTGCATAAATGAGCAGGGATTTCTATCCTTATATCAGATAAAGAGGACTTTAAGCCAAAGTTAATCAGAAGGGATCAAGAAGGCCATTTCACACTGCTTAAAGAAATTACACATCAACAAGGCATAACAATCGTAAATATTTATGCCTCAAACAATGGAGTATCTACACAAATCAAATAAACTCTCTCAATCTCAAGAATCAAATAGACCACACACAATACTAGGTAACTTTAATATGACTGTCAATACTGGTTAGATCCTCCAAACAAAAACCAAAGAAGCTATAGAAGTAAAAAATACAATTGATAATTTGGACTTAACAAACATAGAATATTTCATCCATCAATGACTGAATACACTTTCTTCTCAATAGCACAGGGATTTTTCTCTAATACAGACCATGTTATGTAAGCTATCACATATGTCGGCATACAACTGTAATATTACCTTAATATATTTTTAGCATCTGTAGGGTTATTTTGATCTCTTTTTCCATTGATATTAATATTTGTTTTCCTTCTTTTTTCTTGATTAGACTTGTTTGATTCTTATTAAATTTTAGCTGTATTATTTCTTCTCTATTTCATATATATCTGCTCCTA